AAAACAATTGTGTATTCCTATAAACCAACAAAGATAAAACAAAATGATAAGAATACTTAATAAAAAAAAAAAAAGAACAAACAACAAATGAGACAAAAAGAAATAGCAAGATGATAGGTTGCAGCCCAAACACATAATCCCACTAAATGTAAATACTCTTAAAAAACACAATACCCCAAATAAAAATCAAAAAATATAATAAAACAAAACAAACACAAAAAAGAGATGATAGATCTGGAGTGTACCTCAGTGGCAGAGTATCTGCCTAGCATGCGTGAGGCCTTGGGTTTGATCTCCAGCACCACACACACACACACACACACACACAAAGACAGCAAAACTGAATTTAAAAAGCAAGACTAACTATATGCTGTTGTGCAGAAAAGAACAAAGCCAACCTGAGGCTGCTGCTGTTTGAAAGCCCTGCTTGCAAGACTGGCCCTTGGGAATTTGAAGTTAGGGGGTTTCCATCATTCCCTAGCTGAAAAGAGTGCCTCATCTTGCCTAAATAGTTTATACAAAACAATGTCATTTATATATTTATTTTTTGAGATAGGGTCTCACTAAGACCCTATCTCAGCTTTCCTGCTAAGAGTCTGGGATGCTGGCATGTTCTGGGCTCATGGTTCCTATGTGACCAGTGCCCAGTAAAAGCAATGGGCACTGAGTCTCTAATGAGCTTCCTCAGATAGACAATACTTTATATGTATTTTCATACTGAAAGCCAAAAAAATTAAGCACATTGTATATCCTGGGTGACCAATAGGAAGGAACTCTTAAAAATTTGCATCTAGTTTCCTGGAAATTTTGCTCCAAGCACATTTTACCTTTTCTAATCTTTTTTTCTTTTTATAAGTATAACTATATGATCGTCTTGTGAGTCCTCTGAACAATCACTGAATCTAGGGTGATCATGAGGGTCTCCACTGCACTTACCTAATAGAAATGGACTTCCAATATAAAAACACATAAAGATTAAAAGAATGGAAAAGAGTCATGCATGTTAACACTAATCAAAAAAAAGCTGAAGTATCTATATTAATATCAGACAAAGCAGGTTCCAGAGCAAAGAATATTACCAGAGAAGAAGAGGTAATTTCATAAAGAGGTTTTTTTCATCAAGATAACCTAAAAATCCTAAGCATCTATGCATGTACGCACGGAATTTCAAAACACATGAAACAAAAACTGATAGAAAAAGGCTAATCTGAAAATATGTTCAGAAACTTCAATACTCCTCTGTCAATAATTGACAGACCAAGTAGATTGAAGATAAGTAAGTACACAGATGATTTGAATAGCACTATCAAATTGACCAAATAGACATTTACAGAATTCTCTATCCAAGAACAGAAAAATATACATGCATTTTCAAGTATACACAAAGATCTAATAATAATAAATTACATTCTAGTACATAAAACAAGTCTCAATAAATTTAAAAAGATTCAAGTCAAACAAAGTATGTTCTCTGACTAAAATAAAATTAAACTAGAACCAACAAAAAATTTTCTGAAAAATTTCAAAAAATATAAAAACTAAGCAACATATTTCTAAATAAGTCAGAGATTAAAAAAGGAAATCCAGGGGTAAAGTAAAAAAGTATTTTGAACAGAATGAAAATGAAAACAGTTATAGTTTGGATATGCTCCTGTTAATGCATGAATATTCAGAGGTGAAATGACTGGATTGTGAAATGACTGGACCTGTTCATTGTAGTTTGAATGGACTCATTGGGTAGTAACTATAGGCAGGTGGGGTGTGATTGGAGAAGATGAGCCACTGGGGTATGTTCTGAAAGGGTGCATCTTCCCTGGAGCCCCTCTCAGTTTCCTGACCCACCATAAGCTGAGCAGCTTTGCTTACTGAGCCCTTCTGTCAAGGCATGCTGCCTCACTTGAGCCCAGAATGGACTGAGATCTCTGACACCCAAGCCTCAAATAAACTTTTCCTCCTCTAAGTTATTCATGTCAGGTGTTTTGGTCACAGTGATAGAATAGCTAACTAAAACACACAGTATGACAAAATCTGTGAGATGCCACTAAAACAGAACTTGGGGAACAATTTATGCCATTGAACTCCTATATTAGAAAGGAAGAAAGTTCTCAATTATCTCAGCTTCCACCTTAAAAACAGTAGAAAATAAAGAGCAAATTAAACCTAAAGTAAGTAGGAGAAAAGAAACAATAAAGATCAGAACAGAAATCAATGAAATAAAAACAAGCCAGATACCATGGAGTACATGGATAATCCCAGCAACTTCAGAGGCTAATGCAAAAGTATCACAAGTTCAAAGACAGCCTGGGCAATTTGACAAGATCTATCTCAAAAATTTTAAAAGAGGACTGGAGGAGACATTCGGTGGTTCAATTACCAGTATCACTCGCCACCCCCGCCAACCAAAAAGAAAGAAAGAAAATAGAAAAAATTAAACCAAAAGCTGGTTCTCTCAGAAGATAATCAAATTGATATAGCTCTTATCAGTGTAATCGGTAAAAAAAAGAGAGAGAGAGGAGATACAAATTACAAATATACCAATATCATGAATAAGAAAGGTTGTATCACTATATTTTAACATACTAAGAATAATAAAAGAATAATATGAACAATTTTTTGCCAATAAATTGACTTCAATGAAACGGACAAATTCCATGAAAGACAAACCACTAAAACTCAATAAAAAAATGCACAACCAGAAAAGCCCTATATCTATTACAGAAACTTGATCTGTGGCAAAACTTACAAATCTTCCCACAAGAAAACTCCAAGACCAGATGGCTTCACTGATGGATTCTATCAAATATTTAAAGTAGAAATAATGCTAATTCTAGACAAATTCTTATAAAATTTGAAAAGAAGGGAATACTTCCTACCTCATTCTATAAAACTAGAATTGTTCTGATATTTAAACCAGATAAAGACATTACAAGAAAACAACATTCTTATATGCCTCATGAACACATATACAAACATTTTAAACAAAATTTTGGCAAACAAAATCTAACAATATTTGAAAAGGGTATTACTTCCTGACCAAGTGGCAAAGCTGGTTTCACACTGAAAAACTAGTAATGTAATTGACCACATCAACACACAGAAAAAAAGATTATTTCATTAGTTGCACAGAGTAGGATATAGTGGTGCACACTTGTAATCCCAGCTGTTCAAGAAGCTAAGACAGGAGGACTGCTAAATTCAAGACCAGTCTTGGAAACTTAGACCTGTTTCAAAAAAGAGGGTGGAGGGCAGAGGCAGAGGATGAGGCTCCGTGGTAAAGTGCCCCTGGGCTCAATCCCCAGTATTTAAATAAATATTTAAAAATATAAAAAGGGCTGGGGTTATTAGCTCAGTGGTAGAGCATTCCTGAGTTCAATACCCAGTACTGGAAAACTTTTTTAAAGTTTCCACATTTGAAAAAATTCAATATACTTTCCTTAAAAAAAAAAAAAAATCAGCAAACTAAGAACAAGGGAGACCTACCTCAATCTGATAAAGGATATTTATTTTAAAAATCTATATGTAATATCACATTTATTAGTGAAAAAATAAATGTTATATGAATACATAACCAGTAAAACTCCACATCATGTACAACCACAAGAATGGGATCCTAATTAGAATAAGCTACACCCCATGTATTAGGTTAAAAAACACTCATCATGTATACCTAAAAAGAACAAAAAAACAAAGAAGAATGCATTTTCCTTAAGATCATCAACTAAACAAAATGTCCACTCTCACCATTTCTATTCAGTGGAAGTTCCAGTCAGTGTAATCGGGCAACAAAAAGAAATTAAAGTCATTAAGATTGGAAAGAAATAAAAAAACACCTTTATTTGCAGACAACATAATATTATATGCAAAAAAAAATCCTACAGAATTAAAAAAAAAAGCAGCAACAAAATATAGTGGCTAGTAGTGTAGCCCAGTGGTAGAGCACTTGCCTAGCATATGCAAGGTACTGGTTCCATCACCAGCACTGCAAAAAGAAAAAAGCAAAACAAAAAATCTACTAGAATTAAAGAGCAATTTTAGCAAGGTTGCAAGATACAAGGTCAATATAAAAAAAATCTATTGCAAATCATAATGAAATACCACCTTATGCCCCTTGGAATGACACTATCAAAAAGACAAGTAAAATTGTTGACAAGGATGTGGAGCAGTTGAAAACCTCACACATTGTTGGTGGGAATATAAAATGATGCAGCCACTCTGGAAAAGTTTGACAGTTACTCAAAATGTTAAACAGAGTTGCCACATGACTCAGTAATTCCACTCCTCCTTATATATTCAAGAGAATTAAAAGCGTATATTCACACCAAAAGTTGCATAAGAATGTTCAAAGCAACATTATTCATAATAGCTAAAAAGTACAAACAATCCAAATGTTAATCCAAAAGAATGGATTAACAAAATGTTATATCTATATAACATATAAGAGAATATTTGGCCATAAAAAGGAATAAAATACTGATACATTCTTATGACATGGGAGAATTTTGAAAACTGTATGTTAGAGAAACTTTGAAATATGTTTGTGCATAGATGTATAAATGAATGTTCATAGCTGTGTTATTTATCATAGCCAAACATCTAGATGCATAAACAAAATTGTTGTATTCATACACTGGAAGGCAATTCAGTAATAAAAGGCTACAAACTACTGGTATATGCAAAACATGGGTGAACTTCAAAACATTATGCCAAGTAAAAGAAAAAAGATTAAAAAGATAACATTTCATTTATGTGAAATTTTGAGAAAAGGTAAAGATTATAGCGACAGAAGCAGACCAATGGTTGCCTGGGGGTGGAACTGCAAAATGGCACAAAATAATTTTGGTGGATGATGGAAGTGCTCTAAAACTGTATTATAGTGATGGTTTCACAACTGTATATATTTACTACAACTCATCTAACTGTACTATTACAAGAGATAACTTTATGGGACATTAATTATGCCTTAATAAAGTTTTTTAAAAATAAACTATATATTCACTTACCATTGTAACCTTCAAGAACAGAATCAATAATAGGTCTTGCAGTTAAGTTATAAACATCAAGTTGTTTACTCTCTGGTCCAAAAACAGTATCAAAAGTAAATGTTTTTGGAGGTTCATTGGAAGAATCAGTCTTATGTACAGTGATAGTTCCCCTCATCTCATCCACACTGACAGCCTGTTTGTAACACATGGATTTTTCTCTCTCATTGAGGGGACGGCACCTAACAACAACCTTCACATTATCGCAGCTTTCCGGCTTCTCTGATTTATTGATCTGTGGAGACAATATTTACAAATAATGAAAAGAACATTTGCTTTAGCCATCAACCTATTAAATTTATAACTTAAAAAGGACTGTGTTGCCATCTCAGTGTTCTGCATATGTTAGGACTTCATAAGTCTTCATTAAATGCAATTAAAGATCTCATATATATATACAGCAAAAGCTTATTAAAAAGATATTAAGGGGCTGGGGTTGTGGCTCAGTGACACATGCGGTGCCCTGGGTTCAATCCTCAGAACCACATTAAAACAATAAATAAATAAAGGTATTGTGTCCAACTACAACTAATAAATAAATAATATATATATAATTTTTTTAAAGATATTAAGTGGGGCTGGGATTGTAGCTCAGTGTTAGAACATTTGCCTGGCACTCATGAGGCACTGGGTTCAATCCTCAGCACCATGTAAAAATAAAAGCATTGTGTGCATCCACAACTAAAAAAAGACTTCAAAAAAATATATTAAGCTATGGGGCTGGGCTGTTGGTAGAGTGCTTGCCTAGCATGTATGAAACACTGGGTTTGATCCTCAGTACCACATAAAAATAAAATAAAGGTATTGTGTCCATCTTTACTATTTAAAAAATTTTTTTAAGATATTAAACTAGGCCTGGTGGTATACACCTGCAATCCAAGCAACTTGGGAGGCTGAGGCAAGAGGATTGCGATTCCAAGACACACCTCTGCAATTTATGGGGGCCCTAAGCAACTTAGTGAGACCTATTCAAAATAAAAAATAAAAAGGGCTGGGGACATTGCTCAGTTGTAACATGCCTCTAGCTTTAATACTCAGTACCAAAATAAATAAATTTTAAAAATATTTTCTTTACAATGCAAAAGATGGGATAGAAAAACTAATTTACTTCTATAGTAAGTGCAGAAAATGAACTAGTATATTATTGACTGTCTTTCTGCACAAAGTCCCTGACAGCCGGGAGCAGCGGCACTTGCCTATAATCCCAGCAGCTTGGGAGGCTGAGACAGGAGAATCTTGAATTCAAAGCCAGCCTCAGCAATTGTGAGGCACTAAGCAATTCAGAGTGACCCTATCTCTAAATAAAATACAAAATAGGGCTGGGGATGTGGCTCAGTGGTTGAGTGCCCCTGAGTTCAATCCCCAGTAACAAACAAACAAACAAAAAGTCCCTGACATTCTGAGTTTCCTGCTTATAAGAAAACACAAGTGAGCATGGTTAATAAATTTAATTCAAGATGTGGGGGCGGGGGGCAGGCCTGGGGTTGTGGCTCAGTGGTAGAGCACTTGCCTCATACGCATGAGGCACTGGGTTCCATCATCAGCATCACATAAAAATTAATAAATAAAATAAAGATATTGTGTCCATCTACAACTAAAAAAAAATTTAAAAAAGAATATAGTCAGTCCTTAGTTCCCCTGACACATCTAGTTTTATTTTCTATAACACATTAGTAAAATTACTTTTAAAATATAGCTCCATGCATGGCTTATCTTCTCTATATAAGACAACAGAAAGTTAAGAGTGAAAAAAAAAAGTACAATAGCAGACAGAGAAACATGTCTTAGAATGACCTAAACTCATGAAAATTGTATATACAAAGTTTCAATTTTTGAAATTTTATAAATCAAAATACAATTCTATTACTGAAATGAAGCTTAACATTTCCATTGAACATATACTTATCAAATTCCTGTTTTTGATACTCTTATAAACATTAAAAGAAACATGTAAGCCATTGACTTTGAAATTGTCATTGACAAGTTAACAGATAATACCAATACAACACATTTCTCTCCATCTCTACCTTCATTACCACAATCTAGGTCCCCATCATGTAGGCCCTTTACTCCTGTAGGATGTCAAATTAGATTGTCCTACAGTCTGTACTCCTGAAAGTCAGTATCAACACACATCTAATCATGTTGACTCCTCTACTTTAAATTCTTCAATAGTTTCTCATAGATCTTAGGATAAAAATAAAAATTTTTAAGGTGGTCTGTAAGATCTGTCTGTTGCCCATGTCTACTTCTTCTGCAGGCTTATTTCACAAGATACTTCACCTGCTCTCAACTACATCCACCCTGGGTTTTATGGTCTTTTCTAATCATCATGCTTCTCCTTTACCACTGGCTTTTCCTTGTGGTATTCCTTCTGCCTAGAACATTCCTTACCCCCCTCTTCATTTAGATAACATCTACTTATCTTTCAGAACTCAACTCAATAGCCACTTAATCTGGGAACACTTCTTTAATTAGGTCAAATGCTTTTATAGGCTCTCAGAGCACCCTGCTCTCTTTTCCAAGGACAAAATTTTACTCCCTTATTTGATTAATGTCTTTCCCTCTGTCTACATCAGAAATGCAAATGAATAGTCAAGGGACTGAATTCAGCCCATAAATATCTTTTATCTCACAGTACTTTAAAATATTAGTTGGTAAAATTTCACAAGCACACAATTTCTAAAGTCTCTTAAAAGACAGTTGATCCATCTCTAATAAAAAAATACATGATTTGATATCAACGTAGGCTAGCATTCCTACATGGTAACACTTTCCAATCACTAGTATACACTAGTTTCTACTTTATGCCACCCACTCACTTCATGCTTTAAGAATGTGTATTATCTCTGTAAATGTGTATGATTTTCACCTCTACCTAAGAAAGCAAGTCTTTTTTTTTCCAAATTCAAAAATGCGTCTGGTTTTGCTCAATACTGTATCTTAAGTGCTTAACATGTGGTTGATGCCCAGCATTGACTGAATTAATAACTTGAAAACAATAAAAAAAGATATAGAGTAATGAATGCTAAATGTCAAAACTGTCCTTCGTCTCCTGTGTATTATCTTATTTCGCCCTAATAAAAACCCCATGAAGAAAAGTTTCATTAGGCAGGAACTAAGAACCCAGACAGATTAAATAATTACCCGAGGCCGCATAACCAATAAATAATTATCCAAGGCTCAAGTTTTCTCCATGACCCTTTATTGGACTTAAAAAAAAAAAAAACCTTATTAAGAGAACGGTAACTATGTATATCCACCACATACACACACAAAGACACCTACAGGTTACATTCTGCACGGTAACTACAGCGCCACAAGAGGAATGACAGCTCAAACCTGGGAAAACGCAAGTCAGGGCCCTAAAACAGCGACTGGCAACCTTCGCCCGGCCACTTTCCGGGGCGTGCCTACGCTGCGCAGACCCCACCTGGCGCGGAGCGCACGAACTACCCTAGGGGGCCGCCCCCAAACGCCCAGCGGGCCGGGCTGGGAGCCAGGACGCATCCTCTGGCACAGTGCCTTTATGTCAAACAGCGCAGGCCCCATGGGATGCAGCAAGGACAAAGGCAACAGGGCCTGCTCCCGAGTGCTTCCACAAGAGGGCTGGACCCCCACGGGCCCTGGGCCCATCTACCAGTTCCCTTAACGGCCGAGACCCACGGGGTCCGGCCCTGCCCCGCCCCACCCGGGCCTCCCGCCTGCTCCGCGCTTCTATGGCAACGGCCGCGCCCCCGAGCCAGGCCGCTGGGATAAGGAACCCTAGCGGCTGAGTGGCTCTCCTCACCGGCATCATGGCCCACTCCCGTGCCCGGGAGACGTCCCCAACCGGGGTGTAGCCCAACGACACCGGGTCCACAGGAGAGGCTGGCCAGAGTCTTCTGAAACACCTCCTGGGCGCTCTCGAGACTGCGGCTTCTTCGACTAGAGTCTGCAGTGCGCAAGCGCACTCCAAGTTCGCCCCGCCCAATCCCAGGTTTCGGGCTCCCTCGGCCTCTTGAACTACGCATGCGCGGAGGCGTTTCAAGTCCATCTCCTAGGACGCCAGACTGAGGCCGCGCCTGCGCAATGGTGACAATCCCCTGAGCTAAAGAATCGGTTAGCCCTAAGGAAGGATACCTGGCAGGTCCCCGCTGGGAGAAGGAGGCGCTCCTAGGTCGCATGGCTCATTTATCTTCTGAGACTTATAATATCCCGAATATTGAAAACAACAATAGCATTTGTACATTGTCCCATCTGGAGAGCTGAAGACCTTACATACGTTACCTCGCTTGATTGCTAACTTGTTTATGACCTGTTTTACCATTAGGAGGTGAGCTTACAAGAGTCAGTATTCCTGCGTTTATTTCCAGAACCTAACAATAAAACTTGGCACAGGGTGGGATATCAATAAATATTTGTGAAAGAACCAATGATTTGTTCTTTTTCTGGTCCGAAACTCTCCTCTCCCCTGAGCATCAGTTTACTTGGATGTGTAACAAACATTTGGAGTTTAGCACAATCAAAAATGTAAATCCTCATCCCCTCTTCACTTGCCTCCCCGACTCTTTATCTTAAGCCCCTAAAAAAACAGATAAAATAAAATAAAAATAAAAATAAAAAAGGCTCCTCTGACTCATCTCAACAACTAGACAATTGCTCAGATTAAACTGCAGTCTCTTTCTCACACCCAATATCCAGTCTACTGGACCTATCTTCAAATTTAAGAACCAGAATATGACCACTTACCACCAACATCTTTCATGTGCATTATTACAACACCTCAGAACTAATTAATGTCCTTGATTGCATCCTTGACCTCTTTTAGTATATAGTCAGGCCTCCATATTTGTGGATTCTGCATCGTTGATTCAACCACCAGCAAATCAAAAGCATTTGGGAAAAAAAAATTCGCATCTATACTGAACATATACAAACATTTTCTGTCATTATTCCCTAAAAAGTATAGTATAACAATTCTTTACATAGCATTTGCTTTGGACTAGGTATCTAGAGATGATTTAAAGTATATGGGTATGTAGGCTATATGCAAATACTATGCTATTTTATATGAGACTCAAACATCCAAAGATTTTTATACAGAACCAATCACCCACAGATACAGAGGGATGACTATATTTTCACCACAGGAGCCAGAGTGATGGTGTTGAAATATGAATCAGATCTTTTCTCTCCCCCAAATCCTCCATTGATTTCTCATCTCACAGAGTAAAAACCACAAACCCTCCCTCCACCTCCTACCGTTTTTATTCTTGCTTCTTCATCAGCCCCACCAGGCCTCCTTAAACATTCCAGGCATGCTTCTATCTTAGCATGCAAAGGCTGTGTGCTTGCAGCAGAAACTAATGAAAATAACTATAAAGCATTTTCTTACTGCCAGTGTAATGTTCGAAGTGCTTTATTTTCTTTTTTAATCACTTAAGCCACACAATAATCTTTCAAAATAGGTAGTATTTATTATCTTTATTTTACAAATAAAGAAAGTGAGGCACAAGGCCAATAAATAACTTTTCCAAGGTCACACATGTGGGCCATGATGAAGTCCAGCTTCAAACTTAAGCAGCCCAGAAGCTCTTCTCCTTGATACCTCACTTGCTTGCTCCCTCACCTCCTTTAGAAAGATTTTGTTCACAAGATACCTTCTCAGTGAGCCCTAACACGACCACCCTATTTAAAATTTCAAAATTTAGCCCTAGTTTTTCTTATTTCCCCTCTCGACTGTATAGTTCTCCATATTACTTATCATCATCTGATATTTTATATATACTGGTTATACATGCCAACTTCATTTTGTTTTCAGGCACTGGAGATCAAACCCAGCGCTCTATACATGCTAAATGAGTTCTCCACCACTGAACTACATTCCCAGCACTTGAACATATGTTTTTATTTCCCTCGGGTATGTATACCTAGAATTTTTGCATCATTTCATAACTTTAATGTTTATAACATTTTGAAGAACTTCCAAGTTGTTTTCTACAGTAGTTGCACCATTTTAAATTCCCATCAGCAATGTATCAGGTTTTCAATTCTCTATACACTCACCAACACTGTGTAAAATAGTATCTCATTTTGGTTTTAAATTTTTCATTTCCCAGGTGACTAATGGTGTTCAGCATTTTTTCATGTATTTATTGACCATTTATAAAACGTTTTTGGAAAAATATCTGTTCAAATCCTTTACCCATTTTATTTGTCTTTTCATTGAATTCTTTATATATATTCTGAGTGCAAATCTCTTTTCCGATATATGATATACAAATATTTTCCCCATTCTGTGGGTTGTCGTTTTACTTTACGATGATGTCCTTTGAGGTGCAAAAGTTTTCAATTTTGATCAAGTTCAATTTCTATATATTTTCTTTTGTCCTTGTGATTTTGTTGCAAATTTAAGAACCCATTCCCTAACCCAAGCTTGTGAAGATTTTCTCTCCTCTGGGTTTTCCATTTTTAGCTCTTATATTCAGGTCTATGATCTATCTCAAAGTAGTTTTTTGTTTGTTTGTTTGTTTGTTTCATTTTGTTTGTGGCACTGGGGAATCAAATTCATAGGCTTGTACATGCTAGGCAAGTGCTTTACTATTGAGCTACAGCCCCAGCCCTCAACTTACTGTTGTATATTGATAGACATGGGGTTCTAACTTCATTCTTCTGCATGGTTCTCTTCCAGCTATCCCAGCACAGTTTGCTGAAAAGAATATTCTTTTCCCTACTGAACTGGCACTTCTGTTGAAAACCAATTAATCATTCCTAAACTCTTGGATCTAGTTCACTGACCTATACATCTGTCCAAATGCCAGTACCACACTGTCTAGAGGAATGTAGCTAAGATTTTAAATCACATAGTGTGAGTCTCCAACTTTGCTCTTCTTTTTCAAGATTGTTTTGGCCATTTGATTCAGGGATTCACCTTGCATCTCCAAAGGAATTTTAGGAACACATTTGTCAATTTCTGCAAATAGGCAACTGAAAATTGAACAGTGATTCTGTTGAATCCATATATCAAGAAGTTTCGCCTAAAACAATTTAAGTCTTCCAATGCATGAACACAGAGTGTCTTTCCCTTTAGTTATGGAAAAAATATATATAATGTTCCACTTAATTTTAGCAATGTTTTCTAGTTTTCAATGTACAGAATTTGCATTTTTATTACATTTACTTCTAAATATTTTATTTATTTTTATGCTGTTGTAAATGGAATTTTTAAAAATTTCATTTTCAGATTATTCTCTGGTAATGTACAGAAATCAAATTGACTTTTTTTTATTCTTTTGGTACCAGGGGTTGAACCCAAGGTGCTTAAACACTGAGCAACATACCCAGCCCCCACCCCTTTTTTTTCAAACAGGATCTTGCTAAATTGCTTAGGATCTCATTAAATTGCTGAGGCTGTCTTTGAACTTGTGTTCCTCTTGCCTTAGCTTCCTGAGCCACTGGGATCACAGGCGTGTACTACACCTGGCTCAAACTGACTTTTTAAATATATTGATCTTATGCTTTGTAACTTTCCCACGTTCTTTATTCTTCTAATAGTAGTTTGTGTGTGTATTCTATCCTTAAGATTTTCTATGTACAAAATCATAATCCAAAAGTAGTGTTTGTTTTACTTCTTTCTGTTTAGTCTGGATCCAAACCTTTTCTTTCTTTTTATGATCTAATTGCCTCCTATACAATGTTAAACAGAAGTAATGAGAATAGACATCCTTGTCTTTTTCCTGATCTTAGTTGGGAAGCATTTGGTCACTGTTAGGCATGATGTTAGCGGTAGGTTTTTCGTAGATGGTTTTTATCAAGTTAGAGAAGTTCCTAATTTGTGGGGTGTGTTTTATTATGAAACAGTATTGGATTTGTCAAATGCTTTTTCTGGCTCTATTGTGATGCTTGTGTATCTCAGTTGTCCTTTATCAGATAGGTGTACATGTGTGCATGCATGTGCGCACGTGCGCGCGCACGCACACATTTTGGGATATTAAACCAAGCTTGTAGTTTTTGTTTTTAGAAGAATCTTTTATTCATTGGTTATAGTATCAGGGTGATCCTGGCCTCATAGAATAATCTGAGGGTAGGGAGCAGGTTCTTTTTAGAAGGGCACCAATCTTACCATGACAGCTCTACCCTTATGACCTCATCAAACTCTAATTACCTCTCTGAAGCCTCATGTCCATATACTATAAAATTGGAGATTAGGGTTTAATTTTATGAATTTTAAAGGGACACAAACTTCCAGTTAATAATACAATCCCTATAGACTAATACAACTGTTTAATCCACTTACAGTTAATATTATTATTAATACTATTCAATTTAAGTCTTCTATTTTGCTTTTTGTTTTCTGTAATGTCATGTCTTTTTTGCTCTGCTATTCGTTTTTCATTTAGTTAATATTGTCTAGTTTAACCTTTGAATTTTTCCATGGTTATTTTACTGTATTTTTTAGTTACTTTTATTAGTGGTTGCTCTAGAGTTTTATATATATATGTATATGTGTGTGTGTATATATATATATATATACACACACATATACATACATATATAGTATTTATCATGAACAACTTCAGTGATATATCTTTTAAATTTATACTTCAGTGATATATCTTTTAAATGGTCTAAAGAAGCTGAGAGGAGAGCTAAGCTTAAATTATAGTTTGTTACATTAACCTTCTTATTTACTATTTTTATTTCTCTTCATTTTTCTGTGGATTCAGGTGACTATCTGGTGTTACTAGTATTTTATGGTGCCATTTCTATCCTTTCTTAGCATGTTATTTACATATTTCAAAAATTGTCTAGTGGTTACCTTAGACTTTTCAATGTATATTTAAAACTAATGCATTTAGGGCTGGAGTTGCGGCTCAGTGGTAGAGCACTGGCCTGACATGTGTGAGGCACTGGGTTCAATCCTTAGCACCACATAAAAATAAATAAAATAAAGGTATTGTGTCCATCTACAACTAAAAAAAATTAAAAACTAATGCATTTAAAATTAATCTATTTCTGACTAACATTTTACTGTTTTACAGATAGTGTGAGTACCTTATTACAAAGTATTCTTTTTTGAAAATATTTTTTAGTTGTCAATGGACCTTTATTTTATTTATTTTTATGTGGTGCTGAGGCTTGAGGCCAGTGCTTCACACATACCAGGCAAGCACTCTACCACTGAGCCACAACTCCAGTCCCACAAAGTATTCTTAATTCTTCCCTTACATGCCTGTATTATTGTTGCCACTTATTTTGCTTACCCATAACCTATAACTATATAGCCTATAAGCTTTAATTTCAATAAATTATTAGATTAGTTAACAACAAAAAGTTTATTTTACCTTCATGTATTCCTTAATGTTCTTTCTTCCTTTATGTAGATTTGAGTCTATGGTCTATATGATTTTCCTTTTTCTCTGAAAGAAAATCTTTTTAAATATATTTTTTAATATTTATTTTTTTAGTTTTTAGGTGGACACAATATCTTTATTTTCTATTTTATGTGGTGCTGAAGATTGAACCCAGTGCCTCATGCATGCTAGGCGAGCACTCTACCACTAAGCCACAACCCCGTCCCTGAAAAAAATTCTTTTAACATTTTTTTTTCAGGACAGGTCTACTTGTGACAAATTCCCTCAACTTTATTTGCCTGAGAAAGTCTTTATTGCATTTCACTTTTTAAGGCTAATTTCAATGAATACAAGAACTCTAGGTTGGTGGGGTTTTTTCCTATCAACACTTCAAATATTTCATTCCACGATCTGGCTTGCATGATTTCTGAAGACAATTCTAATATGATTCATATCCTTGCTCCTCTATAGATAAGGGCTCCCTGCCCCTGGCTTATTTCAATTTTTTTTCTTATATTTGATTTTCTACAAATTTAATGTGAACACCTAGATACTTTTTTTTTTTTTTTGCATTCATCCAGCTTGGTGTTCTGTGAGTTTCATAGATTTGTGGTTTGGCATCTGACATTATTTTGGGGAAAATTCTCACTCATCATTACTTTAAATATATCTTCTGTTCCTCTTTTTTCTCCTTTAGTATTCCCACATATTTTAATAATCTCATACATTTAATGGGATTAAATTTTAACAGCATGTAACTTGCATAAGAAAATGTATAAATCACAAGTATAGACCTTGATCTGTTTTCACAAGGTAAACATACCTATGTTATCAGCATCCAGATAAAGAAATAGAGCATTACCAGCCCCCCATGAGCTCCTTGTGTCCCCTTCCAGTCATATTGCATTCATCTCCAAAGGTAACCACTTTCTCCACTTAAACAATGTAATGAGTTTTTCTTGTAAGGCCGGATACAATGGAAGGTAGCTGTCATCTCAGATACTAGGGAGGCTGAGCCGGGAGGTTCATTTGAGCCCAGGAGTTTGGGGGTCAACCCTGGGCAATGTAGCAAGACCCCATCTCTTAAACAAAATCTCATATAAACCAGTCATACAGTGTTTCTGTTCCCTTACACTCAGTATGTTTGTAAGATTCTTCCATCTTGCTAAGCATAGTGAAGTTCATTATTCTTCAACAAAATGCAATATTTCATGGTGTGAATATACCAAAACCTATCTATCTCATTTAGCTCTAGCTCCTGATGAGCATTTCAGCTAGAGTTTGGGCCTTAGCAAATAGTGTGGTTCTAAGCATTATGTGTCTTTTGGTACACACATGAACATTTCTGTTGGGCCTATACCCAAGAGGAGAATTGCTGGTATTTGTGTGTGTGTGTGAGTGTGTGTGTGTGTGTGTGTGTGTATTTTGACACCTGGGATTGAAATCAGGGGCACTTAACCACTGAGCCACATCCCCAGCCATTTTTTGTATTTTAGTTAGACACAGGGTCTCACTGAACTGCTTAGGACCTCCATAATTTGCTGAGGCTGGCTTTGAACTTCCTGCTCTAGCCTCCAGAGCCGCTGGGATTACAGGTGTGAGCCACCGTGCCTGGTTTATCTCCATATATTCTACTTTTGTTTTTTGTCTCTCTCTCCTAACTGGAATGTAAGTATCATGCACATTTTGTTCACTGTTATGTTCTGGCACCTAACATATAGCAGTCCTTCTATAAATAACTACTGAAAAGATAAATGCATGCATGGATGATACTTTTGAGGGAGGTATCATCACTTTTTTAGAGAAGGAGACTCTGAGAGGTCAGACACACACTGCAGGTTGGAAATTCCATAGCAAACCTGTCTTATTGAGGAGCTGAGCTCCTGATGCTTCTCTACCTGTATCCCCAAATCTGTACTATGAGATAAGACACAGGATGTGTGCTCGGACACGAATGTTCAGGGTCGGCTTGGTCATTAGCCACCACACCGAGGGCTGAAGACTGCATGAGGCTCAGGCCACAAGTGGGGAAGAAGCGTACAGAAGGTGTATGTGGAGATGGGAAGGAAAGATGGGGATCTTTCACTTACCTGAGTGAGGTCTGTCTAGTAGTGCCGGGTGTGCGCCGCCCATCCCCCCGGGCTAGTGCCAAGACCCTGCGCCTCCCCTGCGAGGGCTGGGGGTGGGGCCCGCCGAGCCCGCCCCTACCCCGGAGCTCCGGCTGCAGAGTCCCTTGCACTGGGCTATAAAAAACCGGGTTAAGCCACGACTCAGACCTAGGATCCTTCCCACGCCATGGCCTCAGACGCGCGGCTCCCACCGGAGCGGTCGGCCTCGGAGGAAAGCGCCTTGCAGAGCTCTGGGGGATTTAGCCTTCTCCCGCCTTCTTCTAGCAAAGCCTCTCCTGCCGCGCCGCCGACCTCCAGCGGGTTGCAGGCGACCCTTAAGCCTGGGGCGGCGTCCTTCTCCGCGCCGTCGGCGAGCGGACCCCTGCTGTCCCAGCACCCGGCAGCGGTAGCTCAGCAAGCCGCAGGCGGGGTCCCTGCTACCGCTCCGGCCGAGTCCCCGCCACCCACACAGCAGTCCTCCCAGCGCGATCATGGTGTGCCCTCCGACTGGAGTGGCCTGTTGGACGAGCGCAGGCTGCTGGTTCACTTGCATCTGGCCCAGCTTCGCGAAGAACGTCTGTGGCGGGGCGGCAACCTCCAGGTACAGGTTCTCGGGGCGGGGCCCTTCTCACTGGCGGATCCGCTCCATCCGCAATCAGGTGTCTAAAACTCAGGAGGCCCGGCCCTTCAGGTGCGTCTCCATTCGAGGCACTAGGCGGGATTCCCTGAGTTCCCGCACCAGGAAGGAATTTTGTTAATAGTTGCCTCCTAACCGGCCCTATTGCATTTGGTGAATTAGAACGAAAAGCAGGTGCCCTTGGAGTTGGGGTACCAATGGGTGAGACGCCGGGCCACCGAGAGGCACTTAATCCCATCCCGGGATTAAGGTGATGGGGCTTATCATAGCCCTTCTGTTCACCTTAAGCAGGCAGCTCGTGCTACCGGTGGACACGGGCTGCCCCAAACTCGGAAATACTTCTGCCCTCCCTGCCCACCTTTTCAATCAGGCTGAGATCTGCAATGACCACCAGAAAGTCGTGTTGTGGCTCCTGAAACGTGAGAACATCTTTCACTTCTCTCAGACCACTTTTAACCTGGCTCTCACCATCCTCAACCGCCTCCTGGTTTCAGTGAAGGTAGGGAGTCCTCTAAGGGATGATGAGAGATAGTGGGACACGAAACTAACCTTTGTTTCCTATTGCTACCTGAGAAGTGAGTGCTCCATATGCATAAACCAATGCATATAAACTAAGTCACATGCCCCAAGTGGTAAAGCTGGGATTAGAACCTCTCCATGGACATTTGTCTGGGTGTCCTGTGATCCTCAGGATTGGACTTGAGGACCTATTTGGGGAAGGGCTTCCTGTTGAAGTAGGAAGTCCTTGTCTGGACCTGTCAAGCTGGGCTTGAGGCAGGACAGGATGGTATCCCTGAAAAAGTACCATATTTCCTAACTCCTTTCATCCCCTAACAAAGGAATTACTGACTAGTCACCAGTGATTCTGAAATCAGAAACATCTTTGTTGGTAATATTTAAAAGTGACACCAACTGGGTGCCTGATGGTAGAGGCCTGTGATTCCAGCTACTTAAGAGGTTGAAGCAAGAGGATGACAAGTTTAAGGCCAGCCTTAGCTCAGTGGTAGAGTGCCCCTGGGTTCAATCTCCAGTATCACAAAAGTAGGGGGAAAAGTTTGTTTTAATTAAAGAAAATATCCCCACAGATGCTTTGCAGTTTATTTCTGGCATTCATAGTCTTCTCAAATGTGTTCATACTGCAGATAAAAGAGAGGTTACTCCAAATTATCACAATTACCTCCTTGAGACTTGCTGTAAAAATGAATGAAGAGGAGGAGGTATGCATCCCTGGAAGTCTGCACTGGGCCACATTTGAAGGATAGAGATGTGACACTAGAGCACATGGGTTTCCTGAAAGGCTGTACCCTTGGGAATGATGAGCATTTTGGGAAAATCACTTGGGATCTCTTCTGGCCCCCACCCCAACTCCTGCCTTTTGGCTTGTCAGGCTCAACCTTCACAAATGGGGAAGTACAAACACCTGAACTCTCCTGACCCAGCAAACCCAGAGGCCTGACCTCCTGGCACATACTTCTGATATTATTGGTAAATGCCATGTGTCACGCCCACTAAATAGAGGCATCTGCTAATGAGGAAAAAAAGTCTTCCAAAACCATGTGGCTTAAAGTCTACTCCCAGAAACTATGTCTAAGAAAGATGCTTGATGCTTAAGGACTTGGTTATGCCAATGAACTTAGTCCTTGGGGACTCTGGGATCCTTCTTCTGAGAGGGGCAGGAAGGCTGTGTGCTGGAGGTAAGGAGAGTCCCTGCTGAGTGCTTCAGGTTTGCTTGCTTGGCCACCTTAGTTTCACCATGTTTTTCTGTTTTGGAGGAGACTGCCTTTCAGTACCCTTCCCAGACCTCCCCACCACCTTCCGAGCCCTCCTACTTCGGGATGGGGAAACTGCTGTCCTTTCCAAGGGTCTCCTTTAGCTGATCTCAAAGTCTGAGGAAGCAGGAACAAAAGGCTTGTGTGTCCAGTTCCAAACTTTCAATAAAAATGTTTTTAACCCTTATTTATTATAATTTATGCTCCCTGAACTTTTTTTTGCCCAATGAAAAAATCAAGTAAATAACCCTTAAAAGAAGTATTTCTGAAAGTTATAGCAATATTTTAAATACCTGAAAAAGTAGGACCAAATTTTTAATGCACTTGATACATCAGTGTTTACTCATAGACAAGTTTTATTATTCCTCTGGACTAAGAAGTCCCTCTGAAGAAAAGTCATATTTTTCCCAGAACTAAACCACCTTCAATGCAGGTTGAAGGGAAGTGTGTCCAGCTGTAGTGGTACAAAAACCACAGGAGGTTTTGTCAATGTGCCTGCCTGGTGTGGACCAGGAAGCTCATAAGCAGAAACTTTCTATAAGAAACCATGGTAGGGATCAGGAACAAGAACAGTCCAAACCCATGGCTCCTGAAAACCTTTGAGGAGTTCTTGTAGCTGAACACAGGAACTGGAACAGCCCCACCCAGTCTCCAAAGCACCTTTGGGTCTGAGCTGGCATGCAGTTGGGGGATCAAGACCTGTTTGCAGAGGGTGACCATGTGACATGCACTACAGTGTCATAACTTCTGGGGACTTGATAGATAGCCAAGGTCTGATTTGGTTTTTCTTTTAGAAGCATTTTCTGTGGCATGCCATTGGAAGACAACTCTGCTCAGGTCGTATATGCCCAATCCCCCACGGATAAGAAAACAAAAGCTACTATGACATAATGTAGGGCTTTGGCCTCTTTATTTTCTTTTTACAGTTGATTCCACACATAAAAGACTTCATAAAGCACTATGGCTTTGGCTACACCCCGAATGAGCTGCTGAGGATGGAGCTGGCTATTCTGGACAGACTGCACTGGGACCTACACACTGGGATGCCGCTGGAATTCTTGACTATAGTAAGCATGAGGAGTTTGCCGAGTCTCCCTGAGACTCATTTGTGCCTTTGGAACAGCTGTTCACAACATAGGACAGCAAAGCACAGGCGTGCACACGTCCTTGCACATGCACCACGGTGAGGTGACCCACAAGGCTCACAACATACGGGAGTGAAAATGTATCCAACACCATTCCACCAGACTCCCATTTCTGAAGGACATTAAGTTTACTTGACAAAGATTTTTAAACGGCACTATTATGGTGAACTTCTCTTTTAAATACACACTGCAAAAATATTTAACTTTCCATTCTATGAATATTGTACATAAATATCTGTCTGCTTTTGCTACACTTTACACACATTCACTTAGCTGTCTTTATTCACCTACACACAATCCTTATTGAGGCTTTAGACCATATTGATCTGGCACTTAAAAAAATATCATACATTAGTTTGGGTTTGTTTTAGTTAGGGGAATGATCATCATTTTCAAGGATATGATTCTGTTAGTAAGGCAAAATTATGCAATGTGACAATGTCATGGGATTTTGGTCTGTTATGAAGCATGAAGATTAAATTACTAAGGGATGTTTCATTATGAAAACTGACCACTGTTGCCAAGTTGAGTTTCTTCTAGTATCAAGCAGATACAAGTAACTTTTCTGCTACTTTGATCTTGAATAGTATGTTTCTATTTTTCAGATTCAAAACATTGTCATCTAAGTACTTTAGGCCTTCAAAGACTGTCACAAAGCAGACTGTCTTTTTTCTCTCCAGGGTTGAGGCTCAGGTTGGCCACAGAATGGGCATTAAGCCTCAAGCCCCTCATGGGGCCATGGATGAGAAGGGTTGGGCCACATTTGATGCTCCCTGAAGGAAACGGAGATTGTTTGCACTTTTGGTCATTGATATATGAAAAGTATGGGGTTTTCTGTTCTAACATTAAAAACCATGGTCTCCAGTTCCACTCCCTGGTGGTCCTGAGCCGGCCCCATGTGGTAGAGCTGCTGCCTCAGAGGAATCCTTCCCTCCACGTCGCGTCCCTGACCAGGCAGCTGCAGCACTGTATGGCGGGCCACCAGCTGCTGCAGTTCAAGGGCTCCACACTGGCTTTGGTCATCATCACCTTAGAGTTGGAGAGGCTCATGCCCGACTGGTGGACTCCTATATCTGATCTGCTAAAGAAAGCACAGGTAGACATCAACTTTGCCCCAAGCCTGACTCTGAGTTTTGCCCCTTTAGAAGATATACTGTGCCCCTGAAAGAGTACTCATGGCCCTTCTTGGCCCTTGTGAGCTCCAGAAGATGCTCTGGCCTTGATGACTCTGGCAAGAGTCTGCCTAAGGGCTATGCATTCCACACTTGGCCACACTCTGTGGACATCAGTATGAACACCTGCACCTTCACTGGATCAATGCAGGTGGGTCCCTGGCAATGAGAAATTTTATCTCAATGGCAATCCTTAGTGCCAAGAAGATTGGGTATGTGTGGGGGGGAATCCCCAGCTCAGAAGGAAGCAAACTTGAGCTTAATATTGGGAATTGTAAATAGCAGACCCCACCCCCACCCCAATCTGTCTGAATCTATGGCACCAGGCCCTGGAGGGTCAGAATCCCTGCAGACAGATAGGTCAGGATGGAGCTGTGCAATTAGACTCCTGACAGTTTACTGAGGTTGGAGAGGGACGTCGCTGACCCAATGGGGTTAATGCTGGCGGGTTGGGTGGTTGGATCCTGCTTGGGTATTCAATTGCCTAAACAGGCTGGCCACTGTTTTAACACAGGTCATCTGTACCGAGCAGTATAGCTGCTGCAAGGAACTTGTAAAGCAGCACCTGGGAAGTTTGAATCAGCCTCCCGCATAGGCAGCTCCGTTCCACCTGCCACCCAGCCTCTCTGCCAGGACCCTGGTTCCTTCACAGCCTAATGGGAACCCTCCATGCATGGACTCTTATAAATTCTTTGGCTTTATGAATCCTGTAACAAGACAGGAAGAAGACCCAGAAGAGTAACTGAGAAAGATCCTCTGGCCCTAAGAGAAAAATTTCAGGAGAGGGGAAGGGTGGGTCATGATCAACAGTAGCAAGGGTGGTCTGACAGATACTATCTTGCCTTCTCCCTTCTCCCCCCAACCTAGCAGGTAATAAATGCATGCTTCAACGGCACTTGTTTTTCCTTCCTTCTCCAGCAAGGGCTGATATTGGCCCCTCAGAGAGCTGAGGCCAAAGGGTGGGCCCTGCTTAAGCCTGAAAGGCTGGGGCTGGTCCAGATCCTGACTGACCAGTTTTTGCTGTTCTATATGCCAGAGCCAGCCAGGTCCATGTGTCCCAGTCTCAGCTGCCATGCAGCCCCTTCAAAACTGGGACAGTCTCTCCAGACTCATTTACCTTGATGGGTCTTAGCTTAAGTCTTCTCCACAAGGTCATGATCTTAGAGTAGACCTTATTTAAGGAACAGTAACTCAAAAATGCTTTAAGCACTGTTTTCCCTTTGTTACTGTGAACCAAAGTAGTTTTTTAATCTAAGTAGAGGAATTTCATGCTAATTAATGGAGATTACTGGGTGACACCTGTGAGGGGAAGGCAGCAGTTCTGAGCGCTTTTGTTGGGGTAGACAGGTTTCGAGGCCCAGCCTGCTCCAACCACTGTGCTGCCAGGAAGAGGAGGATGTAACTTGTGTGGCTGAGAGAAAGACCAGCTGCCTCTCTGAAGCCATGATACTATAGGGCCATTCTCTAAGCAGTAGAGCCCAGCTGGCCCAGAGGCCAGCTGGAGCTGTGAAAGCAGTGTTGGGGATTTGAATGACTAGGGCACACATTTAGAGGTGGTTTGTGAAGTCTCTCCACTGTGAACGGTTGTTTTCAGGAATGTGCTAAGCCATGGTGGGTAGGGATATGGTCTACTACTAGGGGCAATTTGGTAAGAACCAAATACACTATAATCACTAAAGTCAGTATACATCTGTACCTTTTCTTGACACAAGTTTGCCTATTGGAGCTTCTGTAAAAAATAGACTTTAATTGCTTTCAACACTGTCTTGAATCTTATCTTGCACTTACGGAGTACTGTGCATTCAGACTTCTAGAGTCAAATACACTAGGAACACACTCTCCTGGATCCTATTCATAACTATCCTCCAAGTAGATCCTGGAAGGACCAGAGTGAGAAAATAGGGACTAAGGTTGGGGAGTTGAGAGGCCTAAAAAAAGGCTGGTATGCAAACATCTCCCATGAGGGTGTAGGTCAGTTCTACATCTGGTAGGCAGGTGGCAGAGAGGCAGAACATCCAGTACCCATTTTACAGATGAAGATGCCGAGCAGCTGCATGGCCACCACTGCCCTCCACCTCCTTGCCTCAATGTGAGTGAGCACTGCAGTGGATGAGGCAGGAGTTCATCCTGAGGACCCACACCAGGCTTTGGGGAACTGCTGGGAGGCATCTGGGCCTCGTAACCAAGTGGCTCTACATGTAAATCTTAGTGAAAGAAGACAGACCTGTGATCCTCGCCTTGTTGTTCAGCTGTTCTATAAATGACGTAACCCTCACTAGGAAGCTAACACTTGCATTGCCAAAGTACCAATTGTACATTTTTAAAAGTCTATGCTGGTCACCCTTGCCTCAGAGTACCAGATCTGTGCTAGTCCCCTCTAACATTTTCCCCTCCTGACATTAGGAATTCACATTCCACTTTGGAGCAGACACTAGGGATCCTCTGAAGGGGGATTAATATGGACACAATCCATCTTTTGTCTCCACCCATACAGAAAGGCGGGGGTTGGTAAAGGACTGAGGCTGCAGAAAATGGAGATGGGAGAAAGCCCAGAGGAAGATGCCATAGCAGTGGGAAAGGTCAACGGGCTAAGGGAGGTGGTGGTGGGGGGAGTGTCATGGATCTTTCTTAAACATGTTCAAATGGTACTTCCCCCACATGGGTGAGTCAAGTTTGTATGATATTGCTCCTTCCACCAAGGAGGCCCAGCTCCCTCTGGCTTCCTGGAGAGTCTATCCTTCAAAGTCTGGTGAAGACTTTGCCTCCCTTAGGTAGAGTTGAACTACACCTTCAGCAGGGGTATCAGCATCCAGTCTTCCCGTTGGGCTGTCAACTCCCCAACCTCAGTCCCTATTTTCTCATTTTGGTCTTTTCAGGATCTGACTAGGTCCTAGAAAGAAAGCTTCTCAACAAATGGACAACCATGTGCTTGTTATTTTCTCCAAACACAGTTTTCTCTTTCTCAGCCATTTACCTGTATCCGAAGGCTTTCCACTCTACAAAACCTTCCCAGGTCCAGCAGCCCACACTGTCAAACTATGTACCCTAACAATGACCACATTTCCAGTCTTCTTACATGAGCCTACTGGAACGCCAAGAGGCGGTTGCAGCTTGGGACTTAGGGGTACAGACAACTAATGTTCCAATCCCAACTCTTCCATTACTTGCTTTGTGACCTTAGGTGCCTCACCTGTGGAATATGGAGAATAATGGTATCTAATTATAGGAAACTGATGAAGATTAGAGGAGTTAATGCATGTAATGCAGTTGAGAGCACACAAATGTTAGTTGTCCCGGGTCAAGGCTCCTTATAAACTCCTTGAGGGAGTTTCAGTCTCATTTCCTTAACCCAGTTGCCCAATAAATATTCATGCCACAGACTTCATTTTCTTTTTCTTGCAATTCTTTCCTCCACCCCGCACCATACAAAAGCCCTTCAGAGATGTCAATAGCAGGATTCACTATTGAAACATAACTTCTGCAGAAGTAACTCTCATGAAGTTCACAGAAAAGACAAGCTGTATCTTAACACCACTGTAGCGTATTAATAGGCTCAGGAAACTTGTTAAATCAAAAATTCTGTCCAAAAAAGACACCATAAAAACTCAAATAAATGCAAAATTTAATGGGAAAAAAAAGTACAAAGTGAACTGAAAGGAACAAAAACAGTCAATGAATGGAGTAAATGAATTAACAAGTGAAGCAGTTTTAGAAAAGCATGTTAACATAACAGACTAGCAAGCCACACTTCCCTCAGGCCTCTTATCTAGTAAAAACAAAACAAAACAAAACAAAATAAACAAATAAACAAAAAAAAACCCCGCCAAACAGGGAACCCACACATGGACAAATAAAAACATAAATGCAATC